TTGAAGGTAAGGGCATAAATGCCAAAAAATGAAAAGTAGGGAGGGTTTCCGAAATCAACCCCAAAGGTAGGGACGTTTTGTGCTAATTAGCCTTTCATTTTTATAATTGTTTTCCAGTTTTAGCTTCAATATTTTACTACTCTATCTTAATTTTTATGAGATCGATGTTTTGCCAAATTTTCTAAAATAAAATATTGACCAAAATTTTGAGGTCATTCGTATAGATATTATGCCCCCGTTTGATCCACATTTTTGAAAAATGCATTCTTCCTCTACTCATTTTCAATCATACATTCATCAATAAAATAATATTACATGCAAACCCAAATTTTTCTTTATTTTTTAACCACATATTTTTCATCACATCACTTGAAAAATGCATTCTTTTCTCTATAGTGTGTATCAAACACAGCCACATGAATGATTAATGGACCTGATAAGTTGTGACATTCATTTGCATTCAATTTATGAGTAGTGTGCAATTAAGAAATCTGAACTCAGTTTCTGTATTTCTTGTATACACTCAATATCGATTATTTCCATAGCTATCACCGCTAATTCTGATCACACATGGCTTGTGGAAAGCCTTTGCCCAGTAGGTTTAAGCTTATTGGCCAACCTCCTCCGTACAAGCCAATTTTATAGTTGACGTGTTTATAAAATCACAAGAAAAGCCTTCCGTGTGCAGTGTACATGAGAGCCTAACATAGATGTTACGATAGTCTGCATGAATTGTTCTATATTGTATTAGTACTTCTATCTTGACCATCACTAAAATGGCCTTAAAATCTGTAGGCATTCAATTAGAAAACCTAGTTCATGTCCATCATTTGAAGCCTTCAGCTTTCGACCACAAGGAAAAGTATTGAACAAAACTTCCGTCTAATGGATCCAAAATTATTCCATCACACCAATCCTGTGAATTCGGATGGAAAGATTATTGGCCTAAAATATTCAGGCGCAACCTTGTGAATTTCTGATACATGTTTCTTTGTCATTCTTGTTTTTTACTATAACTTAACATGGAATTAGATTGCTGTATGGATTTGAAAAGTTATTGTATTTCTAAAATTCAAAACCACAATAAAGATCCTTTTAGTTTATCAATCATGATATTTTTCGGGTCTTCAAGAATGTTGTTCAAGGTGGATTCAGTAGATTACATGTTATCCATATGTGGGAACGATGTATTACAAGAACTTTCCTCTCCTGGAAAAAATGGAAGCTTCTTTTACTTAACCAACGATGACAGTTGTATGATAAAGAAGATTGAAGAAGGCTGAAGTAAAAGTGAGATTCGACTCCCGTTGGCCGAATATATGTACGAGTACTGAAATATATCATTCTTCTCTTCCATTTCATGGTTTGGTGCTTTTAAGTAGGGGTGGGCGCGGTTCGGTTTGGATTGGTTTCAACCCCAAACCGAAACCAAAACCAAA